CGGCTCTCGGCGCCCGCCGCGCTGCCCCACCGGGCCTCCCACGCCGTTCTCTGAGACAGTAACCTTGCTGTCTTGAATGCATTTGAGCCGTGCAAGCTATTGCAGATGTGCGCATGGGTATGGGTTGGCGTCGCACACCGTTGCTACGATGGTCAAGTCCCACGCGGTGGAGCACACAAGTACGATGAGCGGTACAATGCTGGGGGCTACCCGTGCTGATTCCGACCTCTCGCTCGTAAATCGGCACATCGGCCTTCTTGGAATAACACGGCGCGATCTCTACGAGGGTCACCAACAACAGCACCGGGCTATAGGGGCAGCGGTACAAAAGGATGGGACTTCACGCCAGCGCCAGCGAACCCAACACCCACAACGTCTCCACCAACGTACGCCATCTCGACCGAGTTTGTCAGTTTGTACGCTCAAGCCAACATCACTGGCGTCGCACTCGGCAGTCTTCAGGCATCCCCTTGGGTTACCCTCAACCTAGCGACCGTCTCCTCCTCCTAGAGCTCGCTTCTTGCAAGTAGCGTGTCGAACTTCAGCGGCGTCACATCGGACGCCAGCGGTAGCCTGTTCGTGTTGGTTGAAGTGCCCAGGACAGCTTCCTCGTTCAATGGCAGAGTCGAAAAAGTGGGCAAGAAGGCCTTTCTATAGCTGACGAGCAGATTGCTTTGCATCTCGGGTGCGGGACTGGGCTACACTCCGCTCGCTGTGTCGGTGGCGCATGAACACACTTCTTCTCGCTGGCCCTTCTCCGATGCGATGTATCGGTTGCTTTGTGGTCTTCCTCGGCCCTGGTATACGCTAGTACCACCGTGGTCTGCAACGCGCGACCTGTCATCAATGGATCAAATAGATTAGTTGTCTTCGTTTATGGCGGCGCGACGTAAACGCCTTCCATGGTCTCGGTCGGAGCGCGGCACAGAGGGCACGTGTGCTGCCCTTGGAGCCACTCGAGCACGCAGTTGGCGTGGAACAAGTGTCGGCACGGCAGCTGCACGATATGACACGCAACGTGCCACTCGCGCTCTTCGTAGTCGCAGAGGCAGATAGCACACCCGGCGTTGGCGGCATTTTCGACCAAGTGCGTCGTCTTGAGGTGCGGCGGGACGTTCAGGAACGACTCGAGGAGGGCGGCAAGCGGAGCCAACGCCGAGGGCATGCTCGCGCACTGGAGCAAGAGCGAGATCTTTTGTGTGTAGAGCACCGCCGCGGTTCGGCACACCATGGCTTGGGTCAGGAGGCTCCGGAACATGGCCGTGCGCTCGGCGATCACGTGCGACTCGAAGCGATGAAAGTTGTGCTTTCTCGGAAACGGCACCGAGAGGATCGAGTGGACCATGTCGATGGTGACGACTTGGTCCGGGTGCGGCGAGATCATCGAGCTGAGGAGCCGGAGCTGCTGGCGAAAGCGCAGAAAGTCCGAGAAGCGCTTCCGGAGCACCCAGGACCGGCGTGTGATCGGGCACGTGATGGGCATCTCGTAGAGCGTGTAGTGGCTCGACCTGCTCTTGGTGCGGCGCGACGTCGACGACTTCATCGCGCCCGACTGCTGCAGGTCCATCGTCTTGGGCAGAAGCGATGTGAACGCCATCGCGTACGCACTCGAGCTCGGCATGGCGAAACGCGAAATGCTGTCCGAGGGCCAGCGCGCCACAGCCCACGTGGGCGCGCTCTGATTGGCGGAAATGTAACGAATGGCATGTCTCGGTTCGCGATCCGACTTTTTTTGCATATTCCGCAAGTTGCAGAGCCTTTGTCCGCATCTGCTTGCAGACGACCGTTCGAGACGATAATGCCATTCGGCTGTCCCCTGTCATTCGTTATCGTTTCGTACTACTGGTAGCTGCTTCCGACTAGTGTTATACGTGGAGAGATTTGCAACGTCGGGGCTGCAACGTTGTTGCACTGTATATCCTCACGCTCTGTCGAGTAGAATCCTGGAATTTGAAGTGCGACGAGTCGAAAGAAGGGGGATCTACCCATAGAGAGCACGAAGCAAGGATGGATTCATGCGACTGTATCGTCAATGGATGTTGAGGACATGCTGATAGAGCACATTCTTCGACGCCGGACGGTAGGGCACTTCAACTCGTTGTTGTTGAAGTGGGTCGTCGTCTATTACAATAGATAAAAGTATGATGCTAAATAAATTTGTCGGACTTTCTTCGTTGTATGCACTCGGACACTCGAGCATCTCGATTCCACGCGGCTTGGAGGGAGCAATTGAAGTGAGTGGCGACACATGTATGTTTATAAACACAATTCTGACGGCACCGACGGAGTGAAACGCTCTCGGGCTACCTCTACTCGACGCCCAAGACGGCCTCCAACATGCACCAAACCGCGTTCCGCTACCTCTGGCCGTGCTCCGCTACCTCTGGCCGTGCTCCTCGTCTGCGTCTGATTCAACATCTGGAGAGTCCGGAACGATCGCGTCTTTCGCGCATACCTCCGCTGCCCAGTCCATGGACGATTGCCGTCAAGGCGGCTCGTGTCGCTCAACTGCACTTGCACCACAGCCTCGCTCAAGAGCCCGAGCAGCCTGCGCTACGTCGGCTTGTCCGACTCCTCGCCCAACACGAGTGGCCGTGACGTCACCTTCTCCCGCGGATTGCGCTCCTGCCTCCGCCTGCCTAGATCAAGTTCCTCCGCCGAGTGTACACAACGAAGAAAGTCCGACAAATTTATTTAGCATCATTCTTTTATCTATTGTAATAGACGACGACCCGCTTCAAGAACAACCGACGGAGTGAAGTGCTGAGATCGATACAACTCCAGGTCTACCATCGCTGTCCAGCACGTCGAAGGATGACACCAACCCTGTTGGCCTCTCCGAAGGAAGCGATGTTCGTCTCTCCAAATGGCATCGAGAGCCCAAGGCAACTCTTGCACACACCAGCTGGACAATCGACATGATGTCAATCCTGAGGCACTGTGACGTTGCAATAGGACGCCTGAATGAGCGCCGCTGACTCATTCATACCCTCGCTGCCTCCGACGCAGCGGAGGTCACTCCTGGTCTTGCGTCAAATTAGGGTGCCCAAGGCTTATGCGCTAGGACCGAGAAACATGTTTTGAGCGGAAATGTCCTCACGACTCTCTCCGTCATCGTGCAATTTTAGTTCCACTCAGTCTCCAGAGCTATCAGCAATGCATCCGTGGCATCCGTGGACGTGGCAACCTTTCGTATTGAATATTTCACCACACCCGATGTGTGTGTTTTCTAAAATTGCCCATATATGCAGACGTGTGTTGCCTGTGTGAATTTGTATCAATCGATATCCCACGTCTTTTTCACGTGCGACAATTTGCACGACCCGGGTCAGGCAACATCTCCACCAGTTGAAGGTAGATTGCTCTCGGCTTCTTTCCACACCTTCATTGCGCAACTTAAGAGCTCCAGCGCCGAGAGCATAGCTGGAAGCGCGCCACACACCTCAAAACCCTTGTACGAGTCGTGGAAGGGCCCTGCTGGTATCTCTGGTCGTATTGTCCTTGACCGGTATGACTGCAAACAAATGAGGGTTTCAGGTCACTTCAGGTCACTTCTGGCTTCAGGTCGTTCTCGCGGAGGTCCACGAGGAGCCTAGTTCTGTGTGACATGTCGTGTCGCACGTGAGAACCCTACTCATCCTGTCCACGTCAACACGCCGCCGCGTCCATGGCGTCGCTCACATCCGCATTTTCCCTCCCAGCACAAAGCAAATTCGATGGCTCGATCCTTGGCCTACGAAGTACTCGTCCAGCCCGATTTGCGTGAGCTCATTTTCGCGTACCAAGTCGGTGTCTCGTGCACACTGCAGCACATGCTGGCACTCTACCACGCAAAGCTCGAACAAGTGCAATATCGGTACCATCCCGACTTGAGCGAATTGGTCGATCCGATTCGTCTCCGTGGCTACATGCTCTGCCGCTTCATTCGTGAAGGCTACTGCGACGAAGCCAACGAGCTCTTGGACAAGTTCTCGGGCCGCAGCGATCTGAAGCTGCCGTCGCGCCTCTCGCCCTTGCTTCGGTGGACGATCGATAGCGCGGCCAAGCACCGCGATTTGGCGCTTATCAAGCGGCTCCACGCACGAGGCCTCGGCGCGGCCTCCGTGCGAGCCATGGACGTTGCGGCCGAGCACGGGGACTTGGCCATTGTTGAGTTTCTCCACACGCATCGAAGCGAAGGGTGCTCCAAGATTGCGTTCAAAAAGGCAAAAAAGCACAAGGAGGTACTGGCCTTTCTCAAGGCGCATCGACCCAACGACGCGCGGGTCCGGCCACCGGTCTACGGCGAGCCCAAGGTGCCGTTGTCCGATGTGTTGTCGTGTGCGATTCAGTAATCTTGGAGTATAGTTGTTCTATTGTACATTGTCCTGTGTGCTCAAAGGGACAGCGCGCAGAGTTTCTTCGGGAGAGATGCCTTAAGTCATACGCACGTCCTGGTACGACGTGGAACTCGACGTTCTCGTTGCTGCAAACAATAGGATGGAGTCGGTGCTTCTTCACCCACGATGCTGTATACAGCGCACAATGACATGTTTCAATACGACATTCTGTCCACGTCGGTTACATGTCGTCCTGTAACCGCCATAGCGAACGGTTTCGCTTAACCGTTTCGTATGAAAGAATGGACGTCAGAGCGTACGTTTTATTTACACTGGTGTACGTATGTCTGCGTCCAACAGGGTTGGATGGACATGGCAGCAGCATATCTCTCGCACTGTTCGCGGATCGACCGAATCTCAAAAACAGTTTGCCGATCGACTCGATGGCGCGCCGACGTCGACGGTCGTCTTCGGCCAAGAAGACCTTTTAACACGCATCTTTGGCTTCCAAGCTGGTCTCCCCAAAGCGCTCAGCGACGTCGTTCGCACCTACCACGAGACGCTCGGCCACGTGCAGTACCTCGACCACCCGGATCTGTGCGAGTCCGCGTCGCCGCCGCTGCTCCGCGGCTACATGTTGTGTCGCCTCGTCTCCAAGGCGCTCCTTCTTCTTCTGCGCGCGTTTCCGCACCCAATCGACATTATGCTTCCGCTTCAACTCGTGCCCTCGACTCTTTTGGTTACGATGGACAATGCGCCGGCAGTTTTCCACTGCTCTAGGGCGAGCTTCGCTTTGGCCACTGTACGACATTGGCCGTGGACACCGCCGGCGACCTCGCGATCGTTGAGTTTCTGTCACACGAGCGTCGTGAAGGCTGCTCGTTGAAGGCGTACGACATCGCCAGCGCATTCCGAGTCCTCTTGAGGCGCCCCGACCAACCGCGCGGCACGCGACGTTCGCAGTTCGGACGCCTCGCGGCGTCGATGCCTCGACGCGACCTTTGTTTGCGCGCATCACGCAGTACCAAGGGCACACCCCGCGTGCGCTTCTTGACGCGTTTGCCGAGTCCTACACGGACAAGCTGCATTTCTTCCAGCGAGCTCTGCTCATTAAATAATTTGACCCATTTCAACAACAACGGACAAGCTGCATCGAAAATGTACGCTTTAGACCACCTGCTGTCTGTGCCACTTGGCGACCGACAGCTGTCTCATCCGCGGCTACGTGCTGTGCCGACTCGTCCACGACGCCCGCGTCACCGAGGCGCTCTTGCTGCTGCGCACGTTTGGCCAGCATCGAGAGATCAAGCTCCTTTGGCTCTGCTGAGCGATCTGAAGCGAGCTCTGGACACAACGCAGCAGCCACCAGATGTCTCACTGCCTTGCACGAACGTCACTTTGGCAAGTGCACGACGCACGCCATGGACATTGGACATTGTATGCCATGACTCGCGCGTTTGAAAAAAGGCGCGAAAAGAAATGGGCTAGAAAAACACCACAATTGCAAAGGGCAAACTGGCAACCGGTGTGGACAAGCTGTTGGACACGGCGTGCGACATCTCTGTCCCTGCAGGCATCCGAGTGGGTTGGTTTGTTAGTTTGAAAAAGAGACCAAGGTCCCGTAGCAGCGCAATGATCCCATCGTCGAGCTCTGCCCGCGCCGTCCTCATGCAGCCCGATTTGTGGGAGGTCATCCTCGCCTACCAAGATGGTGTGCCATGCTCGCTCCAGCACATGTTCCAGCTCTACTACGCCAAGCTCGAGATGGTCCAGTACCAAGTCCACCCCGACTTGAAGCAAATGCAAGACCCGCTCTGCATGCGCGGGTATCTCCTCTGCCGCCTCCTCCAAGACAACTACTGCGACCTCGCGCACACGTTCCTCGACACATTTCCCGACGACAACGACATCAAACTCCCGTCCCGTAGCGTCTCGATCCTGATCCGCAACACGATCGACAATGCGGTCCGCGCCCGCAACCTGTCGTTAGTAAAGCGACTGCACGCACGACCTGCCATTGGCATTTGCTCGCAGCTCGCGATGGACACGGCAGCGGCCAACGGCGATCTCGAGATCGTCCAGTTTCTGCATCAACACCGCAGCGAAGGCTGCTCCCGGCTTGCGTTCAAGAGGGCAAAGAAGCACAAGGCCGTCCTTGCGTTCCTGAAAGAAAATCGCCCCCAAGACGAACACCGGCGCGAGACGCGCGTTCGTATCGAATATGATCCCGGCGAAGGAGCGATGGGCTGCGTCATGCAATAGTCCATGTCCTACAAAACACTTGTCGTTGGATCGTGATGGGACGCCACTACTACGTGTCCTAGAATCTTTTTGGATTTTTTTCAAAAACTGGCCAAAATCAAGGCGTTGCAGCGCTCACGTCGGATTGCGTCTGCAAGGTCCAAAGCGTCTGGACCCTTGTACGGGTGTCCACGTACTAGTACACTGCGGAACGAGCCAGTATGTCGCCATCGGGACACCTCGCTCTCTCCATCGTAGTTGAGGGTTTATAAACAGTAGTACATAGACCCTTGTTATACAATGTGACTGCCATGGCGCTCGCTTCATCTCCGATCCCCACTTCTTTTTCTTCCATCCATGGGTCAACAACAAAGATGATCCAACGCGGACGTGCTTACATACTGGTTTATTTGTGTTAACATCATATGTTGATTCATCTACCAACTTGTGGTATGTCTCGTCGCGCTTGCGCGCTCGACGCTTATCTTCCAAATGCTTTGTGCACTGCGATGGCCACGTGTCGACACCTTCGATCGCTGTCAAATACCGCTTGGTCGATTACTGCACGGCGCAGTCCGGCTTGGAGGCATCCTTGCCCGTGATCGCGCGGCCGTGGGGCTGGAGCGGCATCACGTCCTCATCCGCCGGTCGATATTCACGTAGAAATGTCACGACGTTCGTATGGCCGCGCTTGGCCGCAAACAAAAAGGCGTCCGACGAGCACCCTTCACTGCGGTGTTCGTGGAGGAACTGGACGATGTCGAGGTCGCCGTTGGCTGCTGCAATGTCCATTGCATCACGCGTGCACATGCCGAGCTGGCGTTCGTGGAGCGCAGTCAGCAGCGGGAGGCTCCGCGCCCGCACCGCGTGGTCCATCGTCACCGGGTACTTGGTGCCACGGTGCGGAATAAGGAGGAGGGCATTCGTGGGGCACATCCGAAGCAGCTGAAGGGCAAAGGCAATGTCGCCTTCTTTGAGGAGCTTGACGAGCACGTAGCCGCGGAAGAGCGCGGGTGACGTGCGCGCGCGCAGATTCGGCTGCGACTTGTAGAAGAGCCGCTCGAGGCGCTCGTTGTAGCGCCGGAACTCGTGCACGAGCGAGTTGGGCAGCCCGTCTTGGTAGGAGGCCACGAGTGTGAAGAGGTCCGGGTCCGTGAGGACCGCGAGGCTCGGCCCGCCGACGACGCGCGGCTGGCGCTTGAAGGGCAGTTTGATGTGCATGGTGACCGGCGGTTTGTACTCTGACTGCCGCTGGCTGACTGGCACTGATTGGCTCGGACTGCGCGTGTCGCAGCTAGACATGGTCACGGACAGGACGCGGCGGACGTATGACAGACCTTGTCTACACGGTGTCCTCGCCGCTGTGATGAATTCATGTATCAATTAGGATTGATTTAAGGTTATGCTAACTCTTGTTGTGGAAAGGGTTGTCGCTGCGTTGGTGTCCAACACGTGTTATTGACTGTAAGGATTCCGATGCAATCCAGCGTTTCAAGACAGTGGATCGTTTTTCACACACGCCAGCGTTGTACGGATGCCACGATTTTGTACGGTGCACATCGGCTATAAGGCCAAGGCTCGACCAAATCCCATACATCTATATCTGTGTTAAGGTGGCCCCGTGCCGATGCCTACTACTTCTTTGATTTTGCGAATTACGCGACCCGAGACCACAATTACTCTTCCTCTAGTTGAGATCTATCGATATTGTGGGTTAGTTTGTGTCTATGTTAGTCCCTCTAGAGTCCTTAGTGCTTTTCCCTGACCCACAAATTTATCAGTGTATATTCGATGTGCACCATAGGCCACCGGGCGCCTTGTCAGCTCGCATTCAAGCATCGCCGAGAAGCACCTGGGACTGGCAAGTGGCAGATCAGCGAGCGCGTCAACGTCAAGCACAGCGAAGGAAACATGAACGGTGCAGTAGCAGTCGCGAGCGCAGTGGTCACCACACTGGTGTTGAGCCAGAGCCGTGGACCGGCACATGCGCACAAGACGACCTGCCGGTTGGCCGCATGGTGACAAGCACGCTCGTTGCTGTCGGTCCTCAACCAAGTGCGACCACGTCGCGCGTTTCTGTCCCTATCTAGATCCGGATACAGATTGGGCACTGTGGCGATCTTTCAAGATCCGTTGCATGATGGCACTAAAGAGCCAAAGTTTCCCCCATCAATGGCGCAACGTGGAAACGACTCGAAGTCGCATCAAGGCAGTCCTCGACGCGCATACCATTTGCCGATTCTCAGTAGCGAGGCGATCGTTGGGAGTAGCCCCTGAGCGCTCGCTCATTCATGCTTGAACTTGCCTGCGACCATGGGCAAAGTGTCTAACAAGCTTCGCCCGATGGGCCGTGCGTGCCGTCGCCAGAAAAGAGATCTATAGGTTGGGAGACACGACCCTACTCGTCCGTGCTTACGAGCCGGCCCAAGACGCAGGCACATCATTCGAGCCCGTGTCAAAGCACTCGACGTGCTTGGTTGCTTGACGTTCTGCTGGTACGTGCGTATCCGCCCGCCAATAGCTTTGCATGGATGGCGGCCAGCGGTGCTGCAGCGCCAACAGCATGCCAGCTACGATGGGCTTGCAATGACGCTCGATGCGTCATGCGCTAAGCAACGATACCAGTCGCCAGCCCACCACGCAAAACAGAATGTCGCGTTGGTATTCTGTTTCAAAATGCTATACGCAAACGCTGCATTCAAACAGAATGTCAAAACGTATTCCACTGTGTAAAAGCAACGTTGCCACTCGCTGTAAGCGATCGTACGAGTACAGCTCAACCGAGCACTCTGCCGCAGCACGCTATGGCCTATTCCTTGCCTTTTAAAGGGGACCTTCCATGCTCCGCCTTTGTCATCAGGCGGTTGGCTTGGCGTGGGACGGGCGGAAGACCTCGATTGGTCGTCGCCTCCTGTCACGGTCAACGGCCATATCCGATCAAAGTGCATTCGATGGGACCGATGGCGCACACCACCTGCGTCATCTGCTACGATGCCTGCGCGCCTGGCGCGTGGTACAGTGCCCTCCTCCGCGCCGTGCTTGGTCGACCGCGGCAGGACCGTGACGCATGGCACGAGCTACCGTGCCGGCACTGCGTCTGCGTCGCGTGTCTGCGCCAGTACTTGTCCATTCCGGGGCCCATGACCTGCCCTGTCCAGAGCTGCAGCGAGGTGATTGGGCCTTGCCATGTACGCGGCCTCGCGCTGCCATCGGAGACGCGGTCGCGGGTCGCGCAGATGTACCGTCTCCATAAGGGCCGAGGCGTCGCTTGCCCCGAGTGCCAGTACGTGAGCGCGGCAGGGCTCAAGCCGCGCATGCCGTGTGCGCGATGCCGCACCGAGCTCTGCAGCACGTGCCATTGCCGCTGGCACCTCGGCTTGTCGTGCGCCGAGTTCCAGCGCCTCCGCAAGACGACGGGGCCGGTCACGGCCGATGACGTGGCGTTTTACCACTGCGCGCGCCAGTGGCGCTACCAGCAGTGCCCCCACTGCGGCATCTTTACGGACCGTCGGTCGGGCTGCGCCGCGATGCTGTGCCGGTTGTGCCAAAAGCGCTGGACGTGGGGCCGGTCGTGACACTCTTTTGGTGTCGCGTAACGTGTTGCCAACTGTATGAAACTATGCGATTGCTTGTGTGTGTGGGAAGAGAGCTCGCGGTTGACTATGTGTGCCGAGGCCATGGCGGGTGGCTTGCTTGTAAACTCATGGTCGACAAATGCGGGATTCGCTTGGCACCGCCTTCTCTGCGTGTTTTGACGAGGGTCCATCGCATCGATCAAAGTGACGTCTTTGTCCTCTAGATGGCAGCCCTCGCGATGAAAGTCTATACTGTGGATAGGTAGACACAGTACCCAGCCTTTCCTTTTGTTGTAGCGGCACCCGGCGGGCAGGACAGCTCGATTTCATATTACCCTACCCCTAGCGGTGACAACCCTACCCCTGCCGCCCGCTCGCGACGTCTCCGCCCCACGCCGCGTGCTACAGCGTTGAGTGGCACTACCATGTCGCACCATCAAGGACATTATTCATACCAACTATACATAATGAACTATCGCATAAGTACAAGACAGGTCGTGTCGGCTACTGTATCACAAACCATCGACCAGAAAGGACATTGCACTGGACGACACAGTCGTGTCGGCGCGGGTGTACGCGTACGACACACGACTGCAGCGGCGGCCGCTCGGGGGCCTTTCCATCGTCTGGTCGATGCATGCGCAAGTAGGCTACAACGTGGTGGTGGCCGTGGACGATGCTGTTGAAGAAGGGGCGACCCGCCTTCGCGGCGATGCGTGGCCCACAGCGTCGCGCTACTCAAGACGCTGGATCGACGCCAGCTCGGTCTTTGCTCGACAAACGCACTCGATTTGGCGGCTGACAGGTCCACGATTCAGTTTCCTTGCCACCGCTGCATGGTCCATCGCATTTACCTCGTCGCCGCGTGACGCAAGGTCAACGGCAATGGCGTTTTTGTGGGAAACGCCGACAGACGCTGCATCGCCAGCGCCACGTGCTGACCTTCGAGGCGCTTGCAGAGGACGACGACGCGGGCCATTTGGTGCGAACGGGCGAAACGAAGTCGCGAGCGCCTCGGGCAGGTCGCACTGGACCTGCGTCATCTCGCGCACGACATCAAGAAGGCGGGGTCGAGTCGCATACGTAGCTCTCGCCGCTGACGCATGCATAAACCATTTGCGGGGTTCGATGTGGTGACCATGTGTTTTCGCACCGATCTGAGTCGCGCAGTTGCCGCGACTGGCGCCAGCGTCGGTCGGCTTCCGACCACGTCCGACCAGCACGCGTAGCTTCAACGTCCCACGCTCCTTTGCGGCGGCATGGCGTCGACACGCAAGACATGCAAGCGCTGTTTTTAACAACATGACATTGGCGACGACGACGATTAG